GCGCGAAGCAGATACATCGCGGCTTGCTCGAACACATGTGGGCTTGTCTTTTTTTAGGGAACCCCCAGAATGGTGTTTTGAGTTGGCGGGACCCTCAAAATGGTGGTAATCCTGCTAGTTTGCCCGATGAAAACCAACCAAAAGGCGGTTCCCCCCAAAAAAAGACACACCCATGTGGCTGTGGGTCAAAACCCTGTACCCCTGGTGAACATCAAAATAGGTCGCAAATGGATGTTCATCCACCCCAAAATGGAGCCAAAGGTTATGCCCCATGGCCATGTGAAGCCGAAGGTCGACAATGATTCGTTGCTTGAACAAGCATTTCTCCTATCTGCACGCAATTTCCAGGTCAGGGAAACCATGGTAAAGCTTTGGTGCCCAAAGGAGGCGATTTTGGGGGCTACCATGACTCTTCCGCTCCAATGAGCAAAGCCTTACGATGTTGGAGCGCGAAAAGCACTCCGTGCTTTGAAGTAGACAGCTCAAGCCCACAGACCAAGATTGATCAAACCGGACACTATCTGTTGACTTGCTTTCTATTTCAGAGTATGTCACCGACAGTTCGAAAACCCAAAGCCAACTGGTAGCTCAAACTTGGTCTCTCCCCTCAGGAGCCCCATGCTGCATTGAGAATGCAGCGGAAAACCTTTCGCAACCTCTGCTGCCATTTTGACGTATTAGAATGGCTCCAGTGGGCTACAGGAACTCATAGTCTAACGTGTTGTTCAACCCGTCATGCCTCATACATTTGATGCGCACTCAATGTGACACACATGCCAACCAAGAAAACACAAACACGAATCGTGAAGAGATGCTTCCATGGCAGTGTCAACGCCAAAGTGTATTGCAGGAAGCCGAAATGGTTGAATTTGGCAACACCCCTGGCATGCCAAGTACAGCGTGTATGCCTGTTTGGGTTTTCCCGTTAGAGAGCAGGATTACCCACAATCACAACGACATGGCCAATGTCCAAATGTACTGTGCAACAGGTTGTATTGAAGCCCTTGGCGACCGTGAAACAGAGTAAGTCTCATACATCAGTTTGACAAGCAGCATTCAAACAAACGTGCCGCTGACTCTCGACCTTCAACATGGTCCGAAGCCCGCTTGGTTTTGTTCAGTTCTGCATATTAATTTCAATGGGGGACCCTTTTGTGGACATCATTTTGGTCGGGATTCATGTCCACCAACCACTACTATTGAAATTCATGCCCAGTTGGATACCCGCTCTCTCTCTCTCTCTCGCTCTCTGTCTCTCTCGTTGCCCATTGGAAACGGTCTTGGCAAGCTGCCACAGCTAAAATGGAAAACGAGCGATGGTCCAAGCGTCGGCCAGCGCTCGCGGTTCTATACCGTCAGGACCTCGTCAAAAAAAAGAGGCATGAATGCCTCCCTTGCGACAAACGTACTCAAAGACACAACTGTCCTCGGCATGCCAACAGTTGGGGAAAGTGTCCGGCAAGTACAACATCTCCGTTGAAAGCGAAAGGCCGATGAGTGTGTTTCACGTCATCCCCCTTGATTGAACAGTGAATATTGATGAATGTTGACGCTTCTTTAAATCCTGCGTTCTAGTGCTCAGGGACTCTTCAGGATCAAGCTGCGTAAATCTGCTCGCAGGGCCAAGCCACGTTTGCCTCTCTTGCCTATGTTCCACCTGCCAACATTCATGACCCAACACAACTCCCGCCTGATGCGACGAGGTTTGCGAGTTCCTGCCATGCGCAACTCGACATGACACCGACATGCGGACTTGCGAGACTTTCCCATTCTGGCCCACTTGTTCATCCAAATGTTGGTCGTTTGCCGGGTGATCACTAGCATCCTTCGATGGTTCTAAAGCGAATCCAAAAGGGAACCAACCGCGTAGAGGAAAGGGGAAAGTCGGTCGCAAAACCGAACACCTTCTACAGTCTGCGCATGTCTTCTTTTGGGGGGACCCTTTTGGCTGGTTCAGAAGCGAAATGGAACTGAACTGCTTTATCTTGATGAGACTCCCATCAAGCTGACGCACCCACACACCCACACACACAAACATCACTCCGAAACAAGTTGTTGAGCGTGCGGGGCAAGGGAACCCTTTGACACCGAGGAGACAAGTTGAACACGGCCAGCCAGTGAATGTGGAAGGTCCGCGTTGCAAGGCGGATGTGGCGCTGTCGACTTTGGGTCCCCAACTGCAGAGTCGGGGCCGCCTGTATAAACTGGTTGAAACCACAGTTGTTTACTTGGGTTCAAGCAGGCCAAAATGTCGGCCAATGATTAAACTGGTTAAACAGGTTTAGACAGGTTAAAGAGGTTTCGCGGTTCCGCAAGCTCCGTTGGATGCGCTTTGAAGGGTCGGGGTCTTGGTGAACCGATCTCGCACTCCGGAACCACTCCTGCCAAGCAGTGCCCTCGCGCACCCCTGCATAGCACAGCGCCAGGCCGGTGGTGGCCAAGGTCTCAGGGGACAAAGTAGGCAGCAAGGACCTGCGACGAGACCCGACCGACTCGGGAAGCCCGAGAATTTGAGTAACTTAGAGGGCCAGGCAACCCTGAAGCAATTGGAGTTTAAAGGGAGGCCCCGCCACCTCTGGACTGCAACCAGGTGCCAATTCCTGGGTACTGAGCTTAGATGAGACTCTTGCCTCCCCTCAAATGTGGTTGAACATTCAGCCAAAGTCCCCTTGTCAGTTTCAAGCGCATTTGCGTGGTTGTTCTCACCGAGTGCATGCTCGCACGTGTGCTCTGTGCTCACAGCATCGCTTTCCTTTTAATATGCTGGTGAGCCTCTCCTGGCTCAAAAGAAACTGCACCCAAATCAGCTGCCTCAAAAGCAAAGAAATCGAGGAAGTGCCTTTTCGCTTTCTGTTCTGTCGGTCTTGAAGTGTGCCTGCTTCCACGTCATGGCCATGAAAATTAAAATGGAAGTCTGCGCATGCATGTGTGCGTGTGCACGTGCGTGTGCATTTGGGTGCGCGTGCGTGTGCGTGTGCGTGCGCGTGCGCGTGCATGCTCGCACCAAGTCTTCTTTCTAACGTCGCACATACATAGCAAATGAACAGGTGAGGATACGGGTTTTATGAATACAATTCTCATTGACCATAGCAGGCAGTGCAGGATGTCCTTTCTTGTTGACATCATGCCTAAAACACGCAAAATGGGGCACCTCGAAAACAGGCGGTTGCCCTTGGCGTCCTTTTACAGCCGTCCAAAACGGGGTACCCTCAAAAAACACGAACCCCCTGAAACCTCCAACCCCCCAAGCGCCCCAACTGCCAGCCCGCCTGAAGGCCCTGCCGAGCATCGGGTGCAGCGGCAGCAGCTTCTTGCGGCTCTTCTGTTTCACGAAGTTGTGGAGGAATCGGGTGAGGCCCTCAGATTCTGGGAATCCACCCAACAACTGAAACCCCCAGCCAAAAAATAAAATAAAAAACACCCAAACAAGAACCCCACACGGTGAGGTGGTTTTAGCGGAACTGATGGAGCACCCCAGAATTGGATGTTGCGCAAAGCGCAAGGAAACAACGCGCTGTGGAAAGGGAGCGCAGTGTCAAGGGTGCTTGACCTTTGCATGTCAAGGGTTCAATCAAGGACCAGGTTATGTACATTGGGTGTCTTTTAGGGGGACCCGCCAATATGGTGGTCTTTCTCTTGGTGTTCCTTAAAAACCATGCCAAAAGGGTACCCTCAAAAAAGACACGCCCGCATGGTTACCCTATTGACATATGCAAAGCTGAAGAACGACCAGCGAGCCGAGGAAAAAAACGAGCTTTATGCCTCAAAAGCATAGGCCGAAGATCCGGCTCGGGGCCTGGTCTGGCTGCGAGCACAGCACTTTGAACCAACCCACCTACTTAGATGGCAGCCCAAAAAGCAGCAGACTGCAACAAGCTTGCGCTTGGGTCAGGCAGCTTCCTTTTGCCCTGATTTTGGGATGGAACCGTTTCCTCTGGCTGCCCCCACGGCCCACACCCCCACAGCTAACGGCTGATTTCTAGCAAGCGCCCGTGCGAGGCGCCTCAAGCTTCTGGCGGTCCAGCAGGGGCTGCATCTCCTGCGCGCTCCAGTCATTGATAACCTGGTTACAAAGGTGACCCTGCTTTTTGCTCATGTGTGTGTGTGTGTGTGTTTGAGTGTGGTTGAGTGTGTTTGTGTGTGTGTGGTTGTGTGATTGTGTGAGTGTTTGTTAGTCAGTGGGGGTGTTTACATTTGTGACATTTTATTCAAGCATGGTGCACCTCTTCTGCTGTTGCTTGGTTTCGGTAGCTGTGTTCTCGCTCCTAGCGCACAAAGAACATGCTCTCAGTAGTCGCACCTAGTCGCAAAAAAAATGGAACAGGATGCCGTTTCCGCTGATTCGAGAGCAAACAATGTACCCGATGGAATTATCTGGTCATAAAGCGCTGTGGGCAAAGAGGGGTTTGAGCAACACAAATGCAAGACAGGAAGATAAGTTCACAAATCAGTTCTTCCCAACTAGACGATCGTCTTCCGCTTGAAGAATGCAGGCCCTTGACAAGCAACACGCGTTGTCCGAAGTACTCTGAGTGAGTTGCTCTTTGTCCTCTCTTCATGCATGTGTCTTACCAAAGGAACACGACCGAGAGATCGTTGCTCGTTGCACTTGCCAATCATTCAGCCAGAAATGATCAGAAATAGCCGGCATCGTTGTCGTTGGAACAGAACCTCTTTGCCAAAGCGTGGATGATAAGCCTGACGACATCTCAGCGGACGACACCCTCACATTTAAATGTTCCACGAAACTGGAAATCGAATGAAGCGCCGCGATAAAGAGGATACGGGTTTGTCTCAAAATAGGGGGACCTCCAACTCCATATGGTAAGCTTGCTGTTTGCTTTTCCCACAACAACCATCATAAAGGGTACGCTCGAAAAGACACACCCATGCAGTTCGTGCGGTCGCCCTAAAAACCGATGCATGGCACAACTCCGGAGTCCCGCGACAGGGCCGAGACGTAGGCATTGGCTTTCCTCGGGTAGCCACAGGCCGAGCCAAAAGCCAAAACTGCCCCGCCATCTCTATAGATGCTTAGCACAAGAGCCATATTTGTGGAATAGCCCACGCGGTTGCCAGATACAGCCCGCTTTTCCTGCAGTCCCTGATTGGTCAGGCAAGCACCTAGAATGGACACGCATTGTCCCAAGTGCCAGAAAGATCCTCATGACCAAAACAGGCGAGCAAGGTAGGTGCTCCATCCATGTCAAAGAACACGAAAGCATGACCAACAACGCAATAAAGTCAGATTTAGACAAGACCACCCAAAGAAAGCAGACCCTGACACTCTGTGAATGGAAACCGACACTTTGTTGATTGAATTCAACACTACCTGATTTAAGTAAATTCTCAAATGGTTCGTTAAAAAAAGAAAAAGAGTTGACTCAACAATTGTCTGTTTTGCAAAAGCAGACACGAGAGGGCCAGTTCCCTTTCGCGCATCTCGGGATGACCCCATTGTTTGCCAATGGCAAGAATAGCTGTATCTCTTGGGCTTTTACCATAGGTCCAAAAGTGTCCGACCCCCACAAATACAGCTCAACCAGCGGGGTGGGTCTGAAAAAACAAGACCCTTTCGTGGATTACTTTCAATGCAAAAGATAAAGCTGTTTACCCTTGTTTGTTTGCCTGCTTGCTTGACTGCTTGATTGATTGCTTGCTTTGCTTGATTGCCTGCGTGCCTGCTTGCTTGCTTGCTCGCTTGTTCTTTCGATCCTTCCTTTCTTTCTTCCTTCCGTCTGTCCTTCCTTACTTACTTCCTTCCTTCCTTGCTTGCTTCCTGCGTCCTTCCGTCCGCCTTTCCTTCGTTTGCTTGCTTGAGTGCATTGATTTACTATGCTTTGCTTTGCTTTGCTTTCTTGCCTGCTTGCGTTTTCCATTGTTTCTTTGCTTGTTTGTTTCCTTGTCTTTTTGTCTCTTTGTTTGGGTTGGGTTGGTTGGGTTGATTGGGTTGTTTAGGCTGATTGGGTTGGTTGGGTTGGTTGGTTGGGTTGGTTGGGCTGGTTGGGTTGGTTGGGTTGGTTGGGTTGGTTGGGTTGGTTGGGTTGGTTGGGTTGGTTTCGTTGGTTGGGTTGGTTGGGTTGGTTGGGTTGGTTGAGTTGGTTGGGTTGTTTGGTTGGTTGGTTGGTTGGTTGGTGGGTTGGTGGGTTGGTGGGTTGGTTGGTTAGTGGGTTGGTTGGTTGAATCGTTGGTTCGTTGGTTCGTTGGTTGGTTGGTTGGTTGGTTGGGCTGGCTGGCTGGCTGGCTGGCTGGCGGGCGGGCTGGCTGGCTGGCGGGCGGGCTGGCTGGCTGGCTGGCTGGCTGGCTGGTTTCCATGACTCTGAACAAAAAGGTGATCACCAACCGGAAACAACTCTAACAACTCGGTTGTTCAGTGCCCTTAGCAGAAAAAACGGCGCCCATGTTGTAGGCCTTTTTTACTGGGGAACCCCACCAAACTAAAAAAAAGACAAAGGGTGCCACTGAACAACTTGGTGGTGCTCAGCAAGACAACGGCGCAAGCGAAAATTGGGTCACACCTTCCGCCGGGCAGCTCCTTCAGCACCGCCTCTGCCGCCTGCAGCCGCGGTGGCAGCTCTACCCCCGCCGAGGCGCTGGCGCCCCGCGCCGCTTTGGGGCGCGCCCGGCGCCCCAAGGGCCTCTGGGGAATGGATCTGGTGGGGGGCCATGGGTGGATGGACAAAAGGCACACACAAGAATCAAAAACGAGCTTAAGTTTACAGTGTTGAAGGTGAATTTCTCCCACGCCATCAGCACAATTGTGAGTCTCAGTATCAGTATTTCCCCTTCAGCTTCCCTGGCGCAAAAAGGAACTTATGCGCGCGGTGCGACGCGGGGGACGAACATCGCTGAAGCAAATGAGGCAAAGCCCTGCCTCACCGAGACCCAAACGCAGCCCCAGCGTGCCAATAGCAGAAGCGCCTGGTGGCGGTCACCCGGACAGAGAAGCCTCCGACCCAAATATCTTTGGCCCCAAAGGCTACGCTCTCTGAACATATTGTCTAGCAGGGGCCCAACTAAGCCAAATAGTGAAGCCCAATGTTGGATCGTAAGAGACATCCTAACCAATCCACCATGACAGGAAGGGTCCACGAAATCACTCGCGTGTTTGCTGAATGAAGGCAATGTACCTCTGTTCAGGCACATTCCGAGTTGCTTGCTCTCCATGGTGTGCTTATCCAGTTCCTGGCACTAGGCCTCAGTATGAGTTTCATGATTAACTATCAGTACGTCTTGGGGATGCAGCGGCTTTGATATGGTAGTGTGCGGGGTATATAATGAGCATTCAGGGTGTACCCAACGGATATCCAGGGCAGCCATACAAGACTGAATGGGACGTCCAGTGCCTCCAAAACAGGAATGCAACTAGGACGGCCCACCCAACAGGGCCGGCCCCTAGCCTCTAGAGCCTCCCGCTGAACACTCTGGGGCGCCGCGCTAAGATCGCAGGGAGCCGCGCCATGAGAAATTCGATGGCGGGCGCGAAAGGAGACGGCCTGCTTCAGCTGTTCGCCGCTTTTTGTGGTGCCCAGTGCCGCAGTCAGCGAGCGGCAAGCTTTTGCCTGGTGAACCTCTCCCCCATGTCCTGCCCTCGCGTGCCTGCCATGTCTGCAGCACCAAAAAGCCAAGGGGTTAATCAGCCCCTTGTGACTGAAGCCCACCCCAAGCCGGCGGAAACGGAGCCGGCGGAAACCTGGAGGCCTCAACCGCTTTGGGTTTGAGAGGCTCGAGTGCCAGGGGCGACGGCGACGGCGATGCGATGCGGTGCGAGCGCCCCATGTGATGGAGTTCCCCAATGTCCAAACCACGCAACACACACAAATGTGACGCAGGATGCCAAAAATGGATCCCGATGCCCACTTCCACATTGTCGGAAACAGCTGCAAACGAGCAATCTAACACTTTGAGACCGGCCGTGTGGTTTTCCGGGTGGCAACTTGGCTCAAACTCAGGGAATGAGCCATCAAACCGTACCATCATGGCTGCCACAGCGAATGTCATGCTGTTTTGGTGCTGACTTGCGCTCAGACTCCTCCGAGACTGTTCGCCTTCCGCTTGAAACGCATCAGGGCAAGCAGTGGCGGTCTGCTTGCCAAAAGTCAATGTCGCTGGAGGTCACATGTTCACTGTCAGCTTTGAATTGTTTGCTGGTGTATTGCAAGGCAGGACACGCGATCCCAAACAAGTCCTCATCATAAGAAGGAGTGTTACGCGTCTGTTGCTGATTGGTCTAATCCAGCCTGGTGATCAGGTGTGTTCCCGCGTCCTATCTCCTAGATGAATCTTGTGTCTAAGCATCTAGCCTGCCCTCTCAAGTGGCTTCAGTTCGGCTCAACTCTATGTCCTGCAGCCTTTTTGTTCAGCTGAAACATAGACACGGTCACGGGACATTGGTGTTGGACAAACGCATTCCCTAAAAGCAGAAGACAACAAACCGAAGCACGGGGAATCTCGCTCTCGGCCAATGAGAGGCTCCCCATCTCGCCCCAAGCTCGCGACTTGGAATCCTCTTGCCTCCTTGTCCCACGCAGCATTCTCCATCAGGACCCTGGCCTCCGGCACATAGACATGCCACCAGTGGCAAAGGACGGCGCACATGTGGACCGAATCCATCTTGGCTGCGTATATCAACCCAAGCGAGTGAGCCCCCCTTCAGGGGGTCCGGTTATCTTGTACAGGGGTCTTCTGTCATGCTCGCTTGTTGGTCCATTTGATAAAGTCTCGCGTTCCGCAGAAAGTTTGTGCCGAAAAAGTCAGATAACCAATCCAAGTCAGTTGGTTCGTCGCTGGAAGAACAAGTGCACCTTCTCCATGGTCTTCGCGTACTCAGTCCTGGGCTGGCGCGAATCAAAAATATAACCCTTCTGCGAGCGCTCTGAGGAATGGCACAATTCTCATTGACAAGGCGAGCCAAACAAGAAAACTGTACAAAGCGGTTCTGCTAGATACCCCCTGTGAAGGGGAAAGTCCCATAGACAACTGTATGTTCAAAAGGCTGAACCATTTGCTTGGCAAGCCCAAGCCCGCAGTCCACATCTGCAGGCGGCAACCTCCTCCCACGGCCCTCCCTCAGCCAAGCTGCATTCGAGCCTGCTCAGTCGTAGCCTCGCGCCACGCTCGGGACAGCGCTTGGAATCTCTTGTGCAGCTGGGGGCAGCTTGCCGTTTCGGCAAGCTGAACTGAGGGTTGCGACATCAAATGCTCTTGGGTTGGCTTCAAGGCCTACCTCAACCTAAACTCCGGGGAAGAGACAGCCGCAAAGGTCCACATAAAGCTGGCTCGGGTTCTGTCCCGAAAACCCTCCGAGTGAAAAAAAGAAGCCCAAAGGAAACCGGGGTGCCATCCAAAAGCAAGTGCTTTTTGCAGGGCCTGAGACAGGCCCGCCGTCTGCGCCAACCCAGGGGGCGGCAGGAGGTGGGGCGCCTGCAAGCATGCCATCCGCGCAGGGCAAACATGCGCAAAAATGGCTTCTATCTTGCTGCACGCCTTGTGATGAACACCAAGAAAGGGCACATGGTGTTGATTTGCTGAAGAAACCTTCCCAGTTGACCTTGCCTCTCTTCCAGCAGGTCCCCCATTGCAGGGAAGAAACCAAGGAGTTGCAGTCTGGTTCACTTGGCCTTTGCGAGTCTTCAAACATTGCTCAAAATCCCCAGAATCGCAATTCAGCAATCCAAAGCACAGACGCAGCGAGTCAGAAGGCTACGAATCCAAGCCGGGGTGGATTGCTGCCGAAAACCGACAATGAGCACCTTCGGTTTGTGTGTTGTGTTTGTTTCTCTTGAGGGTCTAGAAAAGCCGTTGTTGTCGTTTAACCCCAGCCTGTAGTATTCCGCCCGTCTTAGACTTGTTTTGAAGGGGCACCCAAGGACACTCATGCTTTCTGTGGGAGACACACCCAAACATATTGAAAACCAAAATGCTGGGGCTCGGTTGGAAAACCAACAGGTGCGCCATGGCGCGACTCCTGGTGCAAAATGTCCCCCGCCTTTGGTTGCGCCTGGCGACAAAGCGGGTGGGGCAACACAGCTAAGAATACCTGAGGGGGCCACAGCACACGCAGCAAACACTAGCAAAGAAGTAAAACAAAGACGCAAACAAATGGGCAACCTCGACAAGAGATCAAGCAAAGAAGCAAAACAAAAACAGCTGGCAAACACATCAACCAGTACACACCACGCATCAAGCTTCTGCAATGGCTGCCTAATCTATGGCGGGCCCAAATCTACCCATGGGGGAACTAAAATTGGAAGAACCGGCCAGGATCCTTCATGCCCCGCAACTACAAAGAAGCCCCTGGGCATACCATTGACTTTCGCAGGCCAGCGGTCGCAAAGTGCACGTCGCTTTGAATCTGCCAGGTCCGCTTCAGGCGGTGAACCGCTACGGACATCAGAACGTGAAGCGGCCAGCGCGCGGCAACGCCACGCTCGTGGCTTCCTGGACCTCTTTCACCAAGCGGTGGCTGGGCGCGCCATGACCTGGAGGTCTGTCCGTTCCACCTTTTTCTTCTTCTTTCTTCGTGCTACGAAGGCATCCGGCAGCTGCCAGCCGCAAACTGGCGTCTGGCTTGGTCTTGATCCGCAAAGAGCTTGGTAGTTGGAACACACCCTCTGCCGAGGCAGCGAAGGCTAGTCTTGCCACAGCCTGTCCGGCACCTACTTTATCACAAGGCTGTGGCCAACCAGATTCCTCATCCAGCTCTCCACTTTGGCAGTTCCAAGATGAAGCCACAATTGCAGCGAGCGGAACGAACGAGGCGCCCAGCCACCCTATGTACATGCAGCTTTCGCTCAGGGAGGGAAGCCCAATCCTGGAGAGGCAGAAGCCAGTGCATAACAAGACTATACCTTCTTCAAATTCCCGAAGGCCCCTCAAACCAGTGGGTCAAAAGCCAAATCGTACCCCCAGCGAACATCCCAATCCCCACTAAAAAGGGCTAAAATGGGTGGCGCACCATTTGGTACCATTGGTTTTGACCCACAGCCATATGTTCCCGGCTCTCAACACATGTTTATGAGACCTGGAGAGAGACTACCTATTTGTTTTGACATATCAACACCGAGCCCTGCGTCCGGCAATGGACCGCTCCATTCGCTGCTTACCCTTCCGAAACCAGACCATGTGAAAAAGGATCGCAGGCTCGTCGGCGCAAGGTGGTCTCGGGACGGGTTCGGGTTCAAAGTGAGGTCAATCAGAGGATTCAAAGGTTTCAGGTAGAATAGCCACAGGAACCGTCTCCAGAAAAGTTTGCATGCCCCGTCGGATCCCTAATGAGGACGTGCGTAACGCTGGGTGGATTCGGAGGTTTCCAACACCTCTTTCTTGCAGATTTGCCTGAGCTCTACACTGTGACATGCATGATTCCATGACAGGGCTACCCCCCCCCCCCAATAATTACCCAAATCATCCACGGTATCGCACCCACAAAGCAAACTCATGCACACATTCTGTGATTTACCTTGCTGTTTGCCCTCTTTGGTAGCATGTTATGAAAGGAAAGAGGTCCTTGCGTACGCTCTCCTATGGTCAAAGCTGTGACTCTAAGGAATGGAACTGAAACGCGGGCGAATGCCGCCTCATCGACTCTGCATCGCTTCAGCGGAACATGTACTCTCGCTGAAACACAATGACAACATCGACTAAGCCATCAAGGAAATCTCCACAGCTTGGAGGCTCATGCTTGGGCCGCAAACCTGTGGGCAACTCTTTCACCGCTATAAAAGGAAAGAAAACCAGAAGTCGGGCCCGGGACCCAATGCCAGTGGACCAGTGGCTCTTGCACAACCGCTCCGTCGATTCGACAGTCGTGCCCCTGCAAATACTACACTACAAGCAGTGTCCTGCTTTCCACCCGACAAGACCTCGATTGGCTCAATCCATCAGAAGGGCCCAGTGGCCACTTCAATGACTCCAGGAGATTTGGACCCGGTCTCATGTTCGTGCAAGACCCGGTCCTTCCGGCCCCTGCGGCACCAAGCGAAACTCGGGGGCACCCTGGCACACGAGGTAGGACGGCGCGGTCCTCGCTCGCGCGCAGACAACGCCGCCTACCCTGCACCCATACCAAGCACGAGTGGCCAAAATATGAAGTTTCAGGCATGGACAAAGCACTTCATATACGGTCCTCTGTTGGCAACATGATAGCAACCCGTTGCCCACACAATGCTTTCCCTGCTAAGCCCCTGGAAGAGCTTGCTCAAGAAGGTTTCTGGTGCGCCGTGCACATGTCAAAGTGCATTTATGTATATATATATATATAAAAAAAAAAAAAAAAAAAAAAAAACTTATGCGAATGCTCTCCTTCTCAAAGGCTGCGCCTTTGAAGGCTAATTATCCCTGAAGCCCGTCAATGCCGGCCAAGGAAAAGAACGACCACAAGAACCGCTCCGAGCAAAACAACCATCCTGCAACGCTATGATCCTTTTTTCGGGACCTCAGTAACAGGTAACGCGACATTTCACAAATGAGCGGGCTGTCAATAAAGCGACGGCAAATGGCCCATGTTCTGCGCGAGGGGTCGGAAATTACCCAGGTCCCCGCGCGCGTGGCGAGCCTGGGACGAGGCCCACTGCGAAAAACTCTGCGATGATTGGAGAGGGTTCACGCGGGATCGTTTCAGTAGTGGCCAAAAGGAAGATCTAGAAATGAACAATCGTTTGGCTGCCGGGTACAAGACGCGAACAATGGAGCCAACAGTTCTTGCAATGCTGGGATTGGAGGGACTGCCCAAGTTCCACGCTTTCAGATGAAATAGGCGGAGGCGACCTGCCCAACGAATCGTTGGCAAGACCTCCACTTGCAACCCCCGCGACATGAGAGTTGGGGCCCAGGGGCTCCTCGGGCGCACGCTTGCACGGCTTTTGGGAACAGCCTCTCAATCCGAAGGTGAGCAATGGTCCATCCAAATGAGCGAATCTCAACATAGGGCTCCCCAAAATGGTTGGTGGCTGTTGATCCCTCTGCCAAACAAACAAAATTCTGTGCGGGTCCAATGGAAACTCCCACCTGTTTCTCCAACGAGGGCCCAGCATGCGCCGTGTCCAGCGCGCGCCAAACCTTCGCCACGATGCCCAGATCAGCCAGGCCTCAGCTTCTCGTCGAAAAGCAAATCGCAAGCGGGATGGACCTTCCTGGAAAACACCTGAACCATCCGTAACTTCCTCCAACACGATCGAACAAGCCAAACAATTGGTGTGAAAACACCGGGAAGAAAACAATTTGGATCTCAGCCTGACCTGCAAGTTGCAAAGCAACGTCAGCTTCGGAGCAGGCCGCCAAACTGAGCCGACATCTGTCCATCCACATTGTCAAATGCCAGCTCTCTTATCCCAGACTTTCATGGGTACGGTATATCATTGGGGGGACCCAAAAACACCATTGATTCTCCTTCTGGCAAGGACCCTCATTCTAGGTCTTGATTCCTCATTCTTTTCAACCATCGTTCTTTTCAAAAACCGGCTGTTTCCCCTGGGTGTTTGATGGTTTCCTGAAAAGAAGGATCCCTGGAAAGAATGGACATGGAAGGCACCCCTAGACTCATGGTCTTCGGTAACCAGCCGAATGTCTCCCTGGGCGCCCCGCTGGGATTCTGCCTCTGCGCTTGCGCCGCCTCCCTGGCGAGGAGCTGCAGCCTGCCGTTCCCGCAATGACTCCAGAGATCCACACCGGAAGTGGCGCTCTGTTTGGGCGTGTTTTCTTGGGAGGGTGCTTGGTTGGTTTGACACATATTTGTCTCAAGCTTGAGTCTACCTTCAAAAACCCATATATGTCCACTTTAAATTGATCAAACGGGGAAATGTGTTTATAAATAGAGATATGGTTATGGGCCAAGATTACGCCACCAGGGGAATTTTAGTCCTTGCTTCCATTTACCAGGGCAACCCATTTTGGGGTTGCCCTTTTTTGACCCACAGCCATATCCGTACAGAACAAGTGGTGGTTCCTTGAGTTGCCCGTGATGCAACACATGTGGCCAAGAACCCAAGCGCCGTTGCCAACTTTGTCTGGACAAAGGCCATGACAAATCCGCCGGCACATGTTTGCTGTGAGCTAAAGGACTCTCGAGAGAACCAACCATAGCAACCAAAAGTCATGACTCGAACCACAGCAAGTTGACGCAGCGCCAAAAGGCCGCTGGCTCGTAACAACTGCTCAGAGACCAGACGAGAAGCACACGAGTTTTCGATGGAAGCGAGGCTCAGGCGGCAAAGCCCACACAGCCATTCTCATCTCAAGCTCTGTTCCCTGTGATGGGGATTTCTCAATGTAGCAGCCGATCTAATCTCAGCCCCTTGGCCATGGGATAAAAAAGGGGTTTTCTGCTAGTTCACTTTAGAGGGCCTCTAGTAAAACGAACAGGGGATAACAACCATATTATTAACCAAATTCACTTCCAAAACGGACAAAGAGGTTTACCTCACTGAACAACTGGGAGAGAGACCCTTCGCGGCCCCTCGAACCGCTCCCGGCCCGCTGCGGAGCTGGTCCCAGCGCGCCGCCAGCTGGGCCCAGCGGCTGTCGCCTGAGACGCGTCGTGGCCGGCGAGCCTTCCGTGACTTGGCGATGAATCCTAGCCTTCCCTCCCCCAAACTCACGTTGCCGTGGCACCTGACAGGCACCCGGTCTCTTTGAAAGGAAACTGATCTTCCAGGTATCCTCCCAGAGATGCTAGAGGAAGGGTCGTTGGAAACTTTCAAGCAGCGATTCAGAATTGTCCAAGTTCTGCTGAAGGGATAAATCAAGGATATCTGCAACATGGAGCGTCTGAATAACCACAAAACATGCTGAGACACGGGCTTGCTATTAGTCTCCTTGAATGAACGGAAGAACATTCCCACAAACAAACCTACTGATTTGCTGCAGGTCCCCGCACAAGATCCTAATTTCAGGATGCGAGAGGAAGACTCACATACGTGGTGCTTGCCACAACAAACAAAGGAATTGTTTCGTGCTCTGTTCACACAGTGTTCAGGCGGGTGCATGTCAATGTTTGCCTCT